ATATATTTATTTGCTTATAAATCTAATTTCTGTGTTCCTTTGACATAGTAATGTTTGTTTTCAGTTATATTCATTGTATTTGTAAATAATGTTGCTGTTTTTTACTGTTATATACTATTTAAATATTTTAGAAAAGAAATGCTGCTTACAATAATGAAATGGCGAAAAAGATAAAATCCAACAGTGAAAAAGAACCAGTAAAACATAAAAACAACAGTTAGGTTCCTCTACCATTATACAACATGAATCATCTCATGATTATCCTATTGGAAATGATTGTTACCTTACTCTATCAACTTACGAGAATAAAGTGAATTTGAATAATCATATTCGACAGAATTGGAGGAATTTAAATAGTGGATCTCTAACATTAGTGTAGTTGTACAGAGTAAAACTGAACAAGATTTTCTTCTAGAAGGACGAATCGTGTTGCATATGTTAGTAATATCTGCTGTATTGTGTTTACCTATTGATATGATATCTGATACGGTTCTCTTTGTTTTATTAAATTCAGAATAGCAGGATTTATGTGCACAGATTTCTCATTTTGATTCCTGAACACTATAGTTCATAATAAAAAGAAACTGTACATTCAGATTAAGTCGGTTCTTATTAATATATACAGAGTGAACAAGTGTACCCTATTTTACAACTACTGAAGAAACGACAGTGTGAAGCATGTGAAATTAATGTACTTATTCAATCTCATCATTCTTGTAACATGTTAAGTCATGATGAATGTGTATGGTTATATTTGAGATCTGCATTGATAAGAGTGAATACATTTATTGTTTAATCAAATAGTAACACAGTTAAATTTATCAATTCCCACCAATGAAACTTTTTGGGATATTGTAGTGTAAAGACGAATCCAAGATTTTTTAAATATAATGTGCATGTATCCTACCTTTGAAGATTTTAAAAACAAACAAAATCTGTAAAATAAATGTGATAACAATAAAAAAACTTTCATGACAAAATATTTCAATTTGTTGTTTTTTATGACAAAGACAAGAAAAATACATATCTTTTATTTCACACTTTATAAATCCATCATGTTTACTGTCTATTATTACAAAATAAACTTTGCAAGAAACACAAACTGTATGTCCACTATACATTAACTCTGACAATGAAGAATAGATTTTGTATGTCACTGAGCTAAACAGTCAGCACAACAAATTTATGTATTCCTATAATTTACATAACATTACAGAAAGCTAAATGTACATTCTAAATATTTTATAGGAAATTATTTTCTACTTCTAAGTTTCTGTTTTCTGTTGTTGATCTGGAACTTAAATATTTGTCGTTTAAATATAATGTTACAAATATAACATATAAGGATCTATTCATAATCTAACTTCTTGAAGGTATAATAGTTTAGACAGGTAAAGAATCACCCATCTTACAAGTTTGACAATGTTCTTCAACTTTATCAGAAGGACAAATTTCTCTGACAAGTTGACAACATAATAACCTTTGATATTTACAAATAACACAAACTGAAATATTTATGGATTGCCATAATTTTATCAACTTTCATACAAGTATGGTGCATTTAGGTTAGTGTACAATTCTTGTTATACTTCTTACACTGTTAGACTCTCTTACTGACCTTTGTTCACATGTTGGTCAACAACTGCTTATTGAGGAACAGTCAGTTCTATATCATGTAATGAAACCCAGAACTATTATACTACATCTGATACATAACAATGCACAGCACTGATT